TGCGGGGGGGCCCGCAGGGTGTCACTTAAGCCCTTCTGCTCGTTTACCTTTTGGTGGAGGGCGCCGATTTTCGGTGCGTGGGCCAGGCCTCTCGGTTTGGGTGCAGCTGCGTTTCCCTCCCCTAAGCCCCTCGGGCAGAGCGGCAGCACGGGGTGCCTGAGTGGCAGAGCCCAGCTGTGTGTTCAGAATGGAAAACATCCTGTTTGTTTGTGTAAACAGTGAGTCAGTTCCACTGTCAAAACCCCTCAGCTAGCGGCTTTCCCAGCAAAAAAGGTCAAAACTGGCCACGGAAGGAGTTAAACTTTGGCTGCAGATGAAATAGGAAGGGACAGGCACTGAAGTTGGTGGGAAAGTATGGGCCTAAACAGCCTTTGAAGTCGCTACGAAGAGGCCACTTACGTTCTGCTCCCTCATCCATGTGATTATCAGAGGTGTACATGGTAGCTGGGCACTTAAATGGTTTTGGACTCAGACTCTATCAGCTGTAAAGCTCAGAAAGCAGAGCTTTGAAGTTAGTGGGGGCAGGGCTGGTAGACAATGATGGCTAAGGGACTGTGCCGAAAAAGGGTCAAGAAGAACAAAGGGTGCCCAGAATATGGGACAGCAGAGGGAGATTTAAGTATCATGGAGAAGGAGGAATTATTTACAGTCCCATGGAGGATTCACCCAGCATCCTTCAACAGCAAGCCATAAATGAGGCAGAATATGAGAAAATTCTTCCAGAGCTGATGCGTTAAGCTACAGAATTGTTGTCCCATGAGAGCGGGAAAAAATGTTGTTTAGGCCACTATAGGTCCTGTAAGCCCATGGGAAGTATGTGGCTTTAGTTCTGTGCTGCCCAGAGAAGCAGATCTCGCTTCCAAGTCCTCTGCTTCTGACCGTGGTTCAGCGGGAAGCACAGCCCTTCCCCACAACATGCGTTCTGGCTTCCATCGTTGCTGGGCGCGTTTGAGGGGAGTTATTGGCCAAATACTGGCTGAAGAGAAGCAAGGTAAAATAGCGGAGCAGCTCTTTCTGTTTGGAAAGGAGCATTCATTAAGGGGTAAGGGTGGATGCATTTTCCCTGCATTTGTTTCTGGAGTGACTTAAAACAGATCCTCTGAGCTGGAGGGAAGTGCTGATACTCTTGCTTGGAGGAAAGGAGGAATGCAGACAGACACTGCTGGCACAGGCGCTTCCCTGGGACCTTTGCTGCTCAGTCTGTGGGGAGATAAACTCGTTGGTGGTGGGATTGTGTGACTGTGCATGAGCAGCATTGTGTGAGCTGACATTTGGCCCAAGCCAATGTGTTGGTGACAGCCATGAAAGGTTTTACGATAGAGTCAAGTGAGCAGCTAAACCTTTTAAGCACTAGGCTCTGATTAAATGAGGAGAGGTTTGTGATGAAAGACCAACATCTAGAAGCAGGTGCAGGATGTGTTTTGGTGCTACCTGCAGGTAACACCGGACTTTGTAATGACAAACAGGGCGTAAGTTTCAGTAAACAGGCTGATTCTCAACTGGTCTTCTGCTAGGGCATGTTATCTAGAGCTTCCACCTTGAGGATTTGGTGGGACTTGTTCTCATTCAAGGGAGCATTAGCCTTGTTTTACAACTGAACGAGGAGCTGAGGAGCAGGGGCGATGAGTGCTGGGAGGTGGCAGGTTGTCAGCAGTGGTGGTGGGCAAAGGCGCCATCTGAGAAGGTTCTGGGGTGGGGGTGGGTCTCTGTGGAACACAGTGCTGCAGTGGCCAGTAGCAGTCAGATGTGTCTGCTCTGGTGTGCCCTGAGCCATATCCCTTTGCTCATTAAGACAAATAACGTGCTGCCTTTTTCCTGCCTAACAATTTCTCGTTTGATTTCTAGGTTGTTTTCCTCCACCTCCCTGAGACCCATCTTTCTTCTCAGCATGTCCCTTCTTGGCATCCTCTTGCTGGAGAGGTGGAAGCCCAGGTTCCTGTTTGATTTCTCAGGTATGTGGTGAGGAGCACTGTAGCTAGTGACATAGTTCTCGTGTTGGCCACTGCTGGGCTGTGGCCACGGCTGGTCCTTTCCTGACTGCCTCACCCATTGTGTAAGCCCTGCTCCTACTGTAACTGCAAGCTTTGATACCATTGCTGCCTCTTGCCTATTTATGTCAGAGTATTAGGATATATCCTAATACTTTTGGCACAGGGAGAATTGCTCATTTAGAGAGTGACTAAGGGGGCCCAGCTAGCTTGTCAGGGCAGCTGTGACAGGGCTGATGCAGTGGTTCTGCTATGTCCTTTCTCTCCAGCAAATGTCGTGGTGAAAAGATACTCCAGTCTGAGTATGCATGGCCAGCCGAGCCGGGGGAAGGCAGCAGGGGGGCTGAAGTGTACTGGTTTTACTCCAGCACAATGTGGCCTCGTGCCCTGAAAGCGGTGGAGCCGACGAGAGCCGCTTCTTGCGGCAGGGAGCAGAGCAGGTGATGAGCTCTGACGGCAGGGGCAGAGAGTGTATTGCACCTGAACGACATCTGGTCTCCAGCTAATCAGCGAGTCTGATCACTTGGCTTATCTTTCCCACTTATGGAAGGGTCTTTGCCAACATTAGACACAAAAGCAACGAGAGGAATGGCCTCATAACAGTGATAGGTGTGGATTGGCTGTTGTCTGCTTTGAGTGCGTCCTTCACTGGAATTTATTAAATGACTGAACCCAGATCTGCCTACTGCATCTACTGCTGCTGTTCAAAGGCAGCTCGGGGCCCTCCATCCCTGCCCCCTTACTCTAGGGAGGGTTTCTGAATGAAAGCCCCTCTATATGTGTGTTTGTAAGGTGCCCTGTATTTGACCTAGAAGGGTACTAACTTAAAGGGTGCTTTCACAGAAGTCCTGATAAGATTAGATATGTTTCAGCTGGAGTCTTGAAACTGTTTGCTTTGTGTGGTTCAGGTAACTAGGCAGCCAAACTGGACTGGCCAATTTAATTTCCTGCTTATTCATGTTGGAGTTTTAAGGGAACAGTTTAAAGCCAACCCAAAACATCTCACTTGAAACATGTCCAGAAATGCAAAATCCTGGTATCCAGTACAGAATAGTGTCATTGAGACAGGTGGAGGTAGAATCACTCCAGCAAGTACCAGGCCTGTAAAAGTTGTTTTCACATAAGGAATAGGAGATCCATACTGAAATCAGTTTCTATGATGCCGAACAGCAAGGAATAAAAAACCAAACCAAACCCTACCAAACAAACAAATGAACAAAAATAAAAATCAAAACACACCAGGGGTTAGGTTAATCCTGTGTCATCAGGTCTGCAAGAGTTTGGTGCACATCCTACCAAGCCGCTCCTCAGTGGTTTTCTTCCCCATATTTCACTCCTTGCTGCTTTTCTGCTGCTGACAACAAAGAACAGGGGTGTCTTTCTGGTATGCCTGTTTAGGTCATGGCCCTGATTTTGACATGGTCCGCTGGACCGTGTTTCCTCAGCCTCCGTGGGGAAGGAGTGGTGCTCTGCGTTCCTGAGGGGCCTCCTGTTGAACTGGCACTGCTGAATACTTAGGGGTTCTTGTGTGACTCGCTTCCCGCCGCAGCAGAGCTGCAGCTTTGTGGCTTTCCTCCTCAGTGCTTCCTGTGAGCCTTTCCAGGAGCTTTTGGAAGTAGGTCAGTACCACACCTTCAAGAGTCAGCACATGTATACACAAACCTCAGCTTCTGGCAGTTCTGTATGTCTCGGCTGACTGCTTACAGCGTCACTTGTGAAAGCATGCTAAAACTTCAGTGTGTACTTTGCAGTTACTTGTGTGCTGTGATCAGGGATGCACTAACAGCAGCAAGGTGCACAACCTTTTTAGGTCCTGTCAGAAGGGACTGCATATTTTCAGCTCCTAGGCAGGGTATTTTCTCTTTTGTAAGCACCTTTGTGTGGGGTTCCACTTAAATATTGTTAAGGACTTAGGAGGCACCTCCGCTTTCTGCTGAAGTGAGTATCAAGTAGGGATGATTTCTGTACCATTGTTTTGCAGGTGTGTTTTTTGTCAGTGTAGGAGAGTAACGTGTGGAAGAGCTTCAGCAGAGCCTGCCTTGCAGTTGAATGCTGGTACTCCTTAAAAAGGGCCCCTGCTTTCTAGCTAAAGTTCTCACATAGATGAAGAATGCCTCTTGAGGAAGCGTTGAAAACCTGTAAGAGCCAAGGAATCCATCAGCGATAATTTGTCAGTACCAGCATGTAACCTAAACTCTTGGGCAGCTGACTGGACTCCCAGAAGGGTCTGGTGTATGTCAAGTGGCTTTTATTAATCCACAATCCATGTGAAATGCCAACAGCAAGATTTCAGCCAGTTATTGATGATCTGAGGGCAGCTGTGGGTGTCCTGCTTGCTGGCTTTGTTGTACCTTTACTAGACACTGTTGCAGCAGAAGTTGGAATTAGCCTTACCAAAGTGAATGTGTCCTGTCAGAAATGCTCTAAGTTTTTTGTGGTTGGGCTGTTCCTCCACCTGGTGTAAGTTCCCAGCACTTTGGGATGAATGGCAGCAAGCTACTCTACTACAGGAAGCAAGACAGTGTTGATTTTTAAGACAGCTTGTGTTTTGCCAATTAGCTGAAGTCACATGAACACTCAACAGCCTGCTGAAATTTCTGCAGCTTCTTGAAGTGTCTGAAACCTTCAGAAGCAGCTCAGGAGAATTGTTTCACTCCCTCTGCTGGCGTATTTTGGATGGCTTGGATTTCTGCAGCCAGTCGGGGAGGAGCGGGGTTCCTGTGCCATCCCATTTTCTCTTTTGCTGGCACATCTGTCCCTCAGAGAACAGTGAGCAAGCATCCCAGCACCTCGTTTGGTAGCTGGCACAACCAGTATGGCCAGTCGTCACGCACGGGCCAGTGCCACATGTAATTTATTTGGTGATTCAGTGCAGGTAATAGATGAGGCTCGGCGATGCAGCGGGATTTCCGCGTGCTGGGATTAAGCAGCGTTAGAATCCTGAGCACAACAACCAAGTCCAGCAATGGCGGGCGTGAGGGAGCAGCGGCCGCCCCGCGGGCCGGAGCCGTGTCCCCAGCATCCACCGCGCACCCCAGGCTCCCTTCATGAGCGGGCTTCCCAGCTCCCCGGGCACCGTGTCGAGCTGGCGTGGGCAGCCCGGCCCGAGAGCGGTTGACTCCTCTTGTCAGGCCCGATTACTGGAAATCTGGGTCACGCTCTCAAAGAATTGCCTCCTCCCCTGGGCGGATGGCCTCCCGCTCTGCTGCGCCGACTGCTGCAGTGCCTGCAGCAGGAGGAGCAGTCTGACACGCTTGTCCCAGCATCCTGTGTTTTGGGAGAATGATGGCGAGGCTGCCTACAAGCAGTCGCTCTCTTTGGCAGCTTGAAGTGTAGTCTGAAGTCCCGCTGGGTGATGGCAGTGACGGGTGTTCGCCTCCTCTGTGTGTCTCCATGAGGGAGTCGCAGAACCACAGAATGATAGGGGTTGGAAGGGACCTCTGGAGATCACCTAGTCCAATCCCCCTGCCAAAGCAGGTTCACCTAGGTCAGGTTACACAGGAATGCATCCGGGAGGGTTTTGGAAGTCCCTAGAGAAGGAGACTCGCCTCTCTGGGCAGCCTCTTCCAGTGCTCCGTCAACCAAGCAGCAGAGTCATTGCTGCTCTTGGACTTTGCATCTGGCTGATGACTCTAGGGAGGATTCAAACCCCTTTTTGCTCACGTTGCCTTTTTTAGCCCAATTCTAACAGTTAGCCTGGACTTGAAATGTAAATGCCCTTCCTTTCTTTTAGTCCTGTTTATGTGGTAACATGCAATGTAGGGGTTATGGTCCCACTGATTTTTAGATGGGCCACATTTGCTGTTGGCCAGATGGCATCAGAGATGTATGTGTCCCTACCAGCTTTAGGACATTATGCTGACAGGTAGAGGAGGGCAGATCTCAAAGGGACTTTATGGAGTGATCAGAGGTTGTTAAACACAGAAGACTTATAAGGACTTATGTTGCTGCAAGAGCTTTGGTTGAGCTCTGGACCTCCTCAGACACTAGTCAGCTAGGCAGGATAACCAAATTCATGCGCAGCCACGCTCATGAGTTCAAGTTGTCATAGAAATATTTGGGGCTTTTTTCCCTCTGTGTATCTAAAGGCAGAGCATAATCATACATGACCAAAACACGGCTCCTCCCTTCAGAACTGCACGGAGGGAGTAAGTCCCTGTTTGATCAGCACTGGATTAAGTGCAGAGAGGAATGGGAGAACCTTGCTTTTATCCAGACTGCCAGACCTTAGGAGTGTAGTTACACCTCTGCCTGGAACAAAGAGCTGTCAGGGGACAAAAAAGAGCCCTAAAATGCAATAATTAAACACAAGACTGCTACATGTTGCTTAGTTCCATGGGGGAGGGTAGCGCCGGCAGGGAGGTCTCTGGCATGTGTGCACAGTGTCCTGCCAGGGACTGTGGTCTGGGCTGCTCAGTGGGAGAGGCAGCTCAGGCCAGCGAGTGCCACGCTGAGCTCCGAGGCGGGAGCTGGAGCTTTGCCCAGCTCAGGGACCCTGCTAGCAGCCCTCTGCGAACAACGAGGGCTAGGGGCTGCCCTGGGGATGGCACTGCCCAGACACGTGGGGTGTCGCGGCAAGCTGTGCGATCGATCCCTGCCACGCGGAGCCCACGCGTTAGCAGCAGGGTGCGCCTCAGGCCTGAGTGTCGTGCCGTGTGTTCATCAGCGCAGGGCGTGAGCTGTGCTGGGGCACCCCAACACCAGGCTCTGGCTCCTCCCAGTCTTCAGGCATGCTTCCTTGAAGCCTGCATACCTCAGGTTCCAAGCTAGTGACTCCTGCTTGTGAGAGAGCGCAAAGGAAGTCCCCGGGGTGCATCCCTAGCTAAAGATGGTGCATCTCTAGCTCTGCTCTATTCAAGTGGTGAAAATGCTGGGTTGTGCTTTTCACTTGGCTGACTAATCTGCTGTGTTTTCTCTACAGCACAGCCATCCGAGGAGCCAGGAGGGGAGAGGTAAGCTCGCTGATGTGTTCCGTGGTGAGAGGGGAGAGTGTGGAAGCCTTAATTTAGTGTGGTGATCTCACCTGCCATTTTGCTGTTGTCAATAGACTGCATGGCTCCTGCTGTGAAACACTGGTAGCAGCTTTTGGTAGCACTGGGAGCTGCTTATCAGCTCAGGAGCCACAGTCTGAGAGTCTGGGGAAAGCTAGTGTTCTTTCAGTAGCAATAAAGCTCAAGTGCTGCTGATGTGAGGAACTCTCAGGTTTCTTCCCTGTATCTATCCTGGTCTATTTTAAGAATCCTCCAGACAGAAGGAAATCCCCGAGACTGGCTTTTGCAGGCCATACATGCTGTCTGTGGTGGCATAGCTTGCATCCTGTGCTTGGCCATGGTTATGGGTCTGAGCACCACATGGTGGCTGCCTTGAATGCCGTGCCAGAGGTGGCCATGTAACTAGTTCTACCTCCAGAGCTTGTGTCTGTGTGGCTTTGAGTAAATGCTTTGCATCTTGGGCCTGTGGCATGGGGATGCTGTGGTGTGGTGGCTGCTGCTGCTGCTTGTCTCGTGTCTCTTGGCTCTCTTCTTGATTAAAGGAAGAAAGGATCTTCAAGTCAAGTGTCTTCCATAGTTCAGTTGAAGATGCAGTCAGTTTTTGCCAGTCAAGTCTCTTGTAGAGATCTCTGCTTCCCAGTGCAGCTGTTCCCCCCCCCGCCCCTTGACAAAACAGACCATGTTCAAAGATTGTCTTCTTACTCTTGTCTGTCTCTAGTGAGGGGGTGACTACAGGGGCACAACCTCACCTGCTCAGTGTGCCTGAGCTGTGCCACTGTCTGGCAGAGAGCTGGGTCACCTTCAGGCTGTACCTGCAGGAAGTGCTACAGTACAAGAGGCAAAATCCTGCCAAGGTAAGCTGGAGATACCTACTCTTCTGTGCAAGGGCTTTTCTTTCCATTACTAGTGGCTTAGGAGATGGAAGAACGTAAAGTTAGTATTTTTTTATTTGCTGTCCCTGTTTATTAACACTTGCTGCTCGTTCATTCCTTTCAGACTCTGCCATGGGGAGCATAAAAAATGAGTAGCAGGTTTCAGTATTTGAAAACTGGAGCTGAACTTAACCCCTTCTGTGAATGGCTAGCTATACTTGGTTTTATTTCTTAGCATGCAAAGGAAGCTCTGAGATTATGAGTGGTGAGAAAAAAGGGAAGCCTACAGTCTTTGCCCCTTTCACAAGCTCCATTCTTAAGCTGGTCCTACCTATTTTGCTAGTCCAAATGCAGCAGGATTTCTGAGTGCATGGAAGCTTATCATTAACCATGTTCTGATGGCTGTGACATGTTGTTTGGAGTTTGTAGACAGGACTTGCCTTAGCATCACCAAAAACAGGACAGACCAGCCACTGGGACTGTGTCAGGCTGTGCCAAAAGGACTGGGTTCCTGTCACTGCAGATTCCTCCTCTTCTGTTACAACACTGTCCCAGCTACGGGGAGTAGACCAGGACAGATATGTCCAAGAAGCATGAATTCCTTAGGAGCAAAGCCCTTAAAGGGCCCGAGCTTTTGTAGACCTTTTCCACTATGAATGAAGCTCCTCATTGATGGATTTAGTCAGTATCTGAAGCCCTGCCCTGGCTTGCAGGGTGTGTGCTTTCACTTCTCCTCCTCCCAAGAAGAATGTGGGACAGGTTATCAGGCCTGCACCATTATACTTGCATTTTTTTCCAGAGGAGGAAGGTCCTGGCCTGGTGGGAGCGTGGGTTCTGCGAATGCTTCTGCCAGCTGATTTGTGGTCTAGCAGCAGCTCAGCATTTGGTGACTCTGGTACAGCTTCTGTCTCGGTCGGGACAGGACGGGCTTCTCTGAAGGTGCTGAGCTCTGCAGGAGAGATGTACTTTAAAACGGCAGCTTGCAATACCCCATCATAGCCTCAGGGAACTTAATTTAATTCATAAAGAACCATCCAGTAGAGTTTGGATTGGTGCTGCTGGGGCGCTGGGTTCCCGTGGTCTTCCTGCGCTTGAACCTCTACTGCTCACAGCTTGACGGGACCGAGCTGAGCTGCCGCGGTACCGACTGCGTTAGGAGCAGCCCTCACTTCGCTCTAACTGGGTTCCCTGCACGAGTTGCATAGAGGTACCTCTGCCTCTTGTCACTTCTGTTTGTTCCTCTCTCTTCCTTCAGTTCTGCATGAGTGTCTGTTCAGGCTGCCTGATTCTGGCTGTAGTTGGACACTATGTTCCAGGCATAATGATCTCCTACATCATTTGTGAGTATAAGCAGCTCTGTTGTCTGACTTGGCAGAAACGTGACCTCACTGTGCTGTTGATAGGCTGGCAGAAGCGGATTTGTGGTTTTCTCGAGGGGATCTGTGCGAGGCAGTGAATCCAGAGAGGCAACGCTGGGGGCAGCCTGGCTGCCGGTGGGTGCAGTGCAGCTGCAGGTCAGGAGGGGCAGCGGGTGCTGAACTAGCGCTGTCCTCTGCCCACGGCCAAGGCTGGGCTGCTGAGGCGCCGGGGGAGCAGAGGCTTACAGTCTCTCTGTCCCTAGCGTGGGCAAATCTGTATCGAGAGAACTGTTCAAGAAGCTGCATGTATTTAGTAAATAAGACCTTTTTTGCTGCATCATGAGTCCCTGCTAACTCTGAAGACTGTTCAGGTGGTCTGCTGCCAGCACATCTATGTAACAGTTTTATGCTGCTACTCTTATAAGTGTTTTGGTGATTTTTTTAGATTTAATAACTGCATTTCAGGGCCTCTGCTGCGTGTTGGGGCTGGGATGCAGTGGCTGAAGAGGAGGGCTTATGCTTCACCTTAAGACAAAGCTGTATCCTAACAGAGATCTGTTAGGAAAAGCTGGTTAATCAAGCAGCTTTAGAATGAATAAGAATAGTAAGCACGAGGTTTTTAGGCAAGAGGCAGGTGGAAAAGCAATTGCTGTTCAACAGCACTTCCCCTGGTGCAGTTTCTCACTGGTGCCCTGTGAAGGGCTGGTTTGTGCTTGGTGCTGTCACTCACACTCCCTGCATCTTGTGTTTGCAGTGCTCAGCATTCTGCTCTGGCCTCTGGTGGTCTACCATGAGCTGATCCAGAGGATGTACACGCGTTTGGAGCCTGTCCTGATGAAGCTGGACTACAGCATGAAGGCAGAGACGCTGCACCACAAGCATGAGAAGAAGAGTAAGGACCCACCTTCTCTCTCACTTTTCCTGGTGCCATACTCCCAGGGTGGAGCTGTAGCAAAGGGACAATGGGAGAGCATGTGTGCCAACACTGTGTGGTGAAAGCTGCAGCCAAGCAGGGGAAAAATAACTGATACTGGAGGGTTGTTGAGAGAGCAATTGGGCAGGTGATCCTTGGAACAGCAAATGAGAGCAACGGATTACAGGTATCTCTGGAAACTTTGGGCTTCTGCAAAGCCTGTGCAGTTTCACAGAGTAGTAAAAATAGAGGGAAAGTGATGTATAAAGGCATAAAATTAGGAGTTAGAGTGCATTCTCCATAAGTTTGTAGACAACACCAAGCTGGGTGGAATTGTTGATCTTCTTGATGGTAGGGAGGCTCTACAGAGGGACCTGAACAGGCTGGATCAGTGGGCCGATGCCAGCTGGTGCACTTGGATCATGACAACCCCAGGCAATGCTACAGGCTTGGGGATGAGTGGCTGGAAAGCTGCCCAGCAGAAAAGGACCTGGGGATGTTGATTGAAAGCCGGCTGAAGATGAGTCAGCAGTGTGCTGAGGTGGCCAAGAAGCCAACAGCATCCTGGCTTGTGTCAGGAATAGTGTGGCCTGCAGGACTAGAGCAGTGATCGTCCCCTTGTACTCAGCGCTGGTGAGGCCACACTTCAAATACTTTGTTCAGTTTTGGACACTCACTACAAGAAGGACATTGAGGTGCTGGAGTACGTCCAAAGAAGGGCAGCAAAGCTGGTGGAGGGTCTGGAGCACAAGTGTTCCGAGGAGCAGCTGAAGGAACTGGGGTTGTTCCATCTGGAGAAAAAGAGGCTCAGGGGAGACCTTCTCGCTCTTTACAACTTCTGAAAGGAGGTTGTAGTGAGGTGGGGGTCGATCTCTTCTCACAAGTAACAAGTGATGGGGCAAGAGGAAGTGGCCTCAAATTTTTCCAGGGGAAGTTTAGATTAGAAAGGGTTCTCAAGCACAGGCTGAACAGGCTGCCCAGGGAAGTGGTTGAATCACCATCCTTGGACATGTTTAAAAGTCGTGTAGCTATATGGTGCTTGGGGACATGGTGTAAGCAGTGGCCTTGGTAGAGTTAAGTTAATGGTTGGACTCAATGATCTTAAGGGTCCTTTTCAATCTAGACAGTTCTGATTCTATGAAAATTCCTTCAGTCTCCTGAAAAGCCTTTCTTCTCTTCCTCGCAGAGCGACAGGGGAAGAGTGAGCCTGCAGCAGGTGATGAGCCAACAGCAGAGACCGAGAGTGAGAGTGAGGCAGAACTGTCGGGCTTCTCCCCAGTGGTAAGAGCACAAAAGGCTGAGCAGGAACCCATCCCTCTCATCTGGTCTGTAGCACCTTGAGAGTTGAGGGGTGGTCTGAGTACAGCTGCACTTGTAACACAGCAGGGCAACAAGTCACTTTGCAGGATCCCAAGGGAAGGATGGTATTTGTTTGATGAAGGTGTTCTGCCAATGACTAGGCCTAACAAGAACGATACAACTGGCAGAAAGACGAACCAATAAGTGGAATGTATTGAGAACAAAAAGTCATGCCATGAATGATCGCTGGGTGTATAAACAAGTCAATTAATCCGCAAACAATCGACTTTACCCCCAACGACCCCAGGAAAGATGTAATTCGACTAACAATAGGTGGTATAAACAGAGAGGCAAGGTTTCCCATAGTTGGCAAGGGAGACAGCCAGATCACAAGGTTAAACAAATAGGATAAAGGTGCCCACATGGCAACTCTCACCCGTCTAGCCTGCGTTCGCAAAGGTCTGAACTGACTGGGGCCCAGTTTCAGGGAGAGCCAGGAGGTCTTTCCTGAAGCATGAAGCTCTGTGAAGTGCATCCACTTCACAGGCAGACACTCCTCCCTTCCTGCAAGTGGTCCCAGCTTTTATCCCCAAGCAGGATGCCTGACCTTTGGTTACTCAGTGTGGGACCCCTGAGGCTCATTTCCCTTATGGCTCTCCCTGCAGGGCTGGCCACACCCTGGAGGGAAGCTAAAAGGCAAACTCACCACCTCTTTATGAAGGGCTGTGGGAGTCACCCATATGTCAACCTTAATTTGGGGCTTGGGGTTCAAACCCCAGTATTTCAGAAGGTCATTGTCTCCAAACTGAGTATTGAGAATCCCATGCCACAGGGCTGGTGACATAGTAGCAGGGCAAGGTGAGCTGTGCTCCAGCCTCTTGCTGACCTGCAGAATTGCTTTGATGGTACCAGTTCCTGCTCAGAGAACAGGAGTGTCTCCTAAAGAAATAAACTCTTCTGGTGTAATGTGCAGACTCCTCACGACTGGAAAAGGCAGATGAGCAGCACTGGTGCCTCTTACACATTTCCCTGCTCTCAGTCAGGCTGGGTGGGACCTTTCTATATGTGCAGCACAGAAACGGACCAGGTGACTTCCTTTACAGAGCTCTGGGCGTGTAGCTGGGCTGTGAGGTTGGAAGCACCAGCTTCCGAAGGAATGCAGATACTTAAAGCATTGCTGTTTGTAGAAGGCTTCGGTGGGCCCAGCGTGAAAGCGGAAGGGGGTGTTCTGCTCCTTGGTGATCCCAGGAAAGGAAGAAGGATCAAAACCTTCTGACACTCTACAAGCTGATCCCATCTTGCACTGGTTCTTTCAAGTTCTTCACTGAGGGCAGGCAAAGCTTCATGTAGTCAATTATTGCAGGAAAGCCAGTGCACTGAAACTGTCTTTCCCTGGCAAGTGCCTCCTAAAGTGCGAGGAGCACTTTGCCCCTCTTTGCTTTCATACTGTCCCTGTGCAGAGTTTCTCCAGCAAAGGACTTCTGCCTGGAAGCTCTAGTTTGTGTGGAAGTGCCCATAGGCAGCGCTGGTAGCCAGATACCAGGAGTTTGTCCCTTTGCCTTCATCCTATGCAGGTGGATGTGAAGAAGACTGCCCTGGCACTGTCAATCACAGATTCCGAACTCTCTGATGAGGAGGCTTCCATCTTGGAGAGTGGGGGCTTCTCTGTCTCAAGGGCTACCACACCACAGCTGACAGACGTTTCTGAAGGTACGTGGCGGAACGCTTCACTGCCTTCCTGACCCCGAGTGTTTTGTCCCAGAACAACTGTCCCTCCAAACACAGGGAGAGAACCCAGCTAATTTGCAGGGGAAAGAGCCCTGAAAGGAGGAAGTGGCCATAGCAGTGCAGCATGCCCTGGCTTCTTGTCTAATCGTGACTTGGTCCTGAGTGAACATCTGCCTCTGACTACTGTCCCACAAGGCAGTGCTCTCTTGTGACTCCAGCAAGGGAGCAGGGTTGTCCCCGGAGTCCCACAGAGCTAATTGCATGGTATAGTCACACGCCCATATATGATGATGGGTGAAACAGGTCAGACACCTCACTCTGTCAGACTTCCAAGCTTGGAGAAAGACTGGTTAGTGGTGAGGAACGCAGAGGTGACTGCTCAGATGTGGTCACTTGAGTGTCTGGGCAGGAACTGGCAGGTGACATGCCACAAGCACAATTTCCATGACCCTGTGGGTTTTAACAGAGGGCTGTAAACACTGAATGTGAGCTGGAGAAGGAAGTCCTCTCTGAATGCAAAGCACATAATGCAGGGTGAGAAAAGGGACACTCCACATGAGTTGTGCCACTGGGAGAAGGAAGTAACTTCAAACTCCTTCTTGCTGTGCTCCTGGAGCTGGGAGGATGCCCAAAAGTGAGCCCTGGTGTGTCAGCAGAAGGAGGTGGGTGGGAGGTGTCAGGGCCCTGGGTCAAGGTGAGGGGACCTGAGCCTTAATGCCAGTGCCTTTCAGACCTGGATCAGCAGAGCCTGCACAGCGAGCCGGAGGAGTCGTTTTCCAAGGACCTGGCAGAGTTTCCCTCCGTGGAAGAATATCATTCCAGAGACATGGGACCACAGAGCGATGAAGACGCGTTTGGTGTGCCTCTGGGTCCTGAGCTTGCCCACGCTGCCCGTGAGCTGGACTCGGCAGAGAAGGAGGCCGCAGACTCTGAGCTCTCCATCCTTCGCCTAGCATCTCCTCTCCATTTTGTAAATACGCACTTCAACGGGAGCGGGCAAGTGGCAGGAGGCGGCACAGAGCCAAAGACTGTCCCTGCCCCAGGCCTGGGCATGTGCATCGGCACGCTGAGTGAGGAGATCGTCACCACCGCCATTACCACAGCGGTGCAGAACACTCTCTCTGCCCTGCTGCAGTCCTCGGAGGCCAGCGAGGGGCCCTCCCTCTCCGAGTTCCTCCCCACCGAGCCCGAGGAGAAACTGAGCTTCCAAGCACAGCTGTCAGAGAGCGAAGCAGTGGAGGCAGAGACAGCAGCTTCACCAGAGGATGAGGAGGAAGCAGATGACTTTGAGCTACTGGATCAGGGGGAGCTGGAGCAAATGGATGCAGAGCTGGGGCTCAGAGAGGAGCGGGAGGCGCAAGAGTCTCCTGCCGCTCCGGCTCCCCCCTCTCCC